TAATCAGTACCATCAAGGTACCCAGTCCCCACCACACACTCACACACATTACCACATATTCATACAGATCAACACTCCTAGAAGGCTACCCAGAAGGTAGGCAAGGTGACCTCTGTGGGGAAAGGGGGCCCATAGTATCCTGCACCTTACTATAGCCCTTACCTGCCCAGCTACCACTCAAATCCCTGAGCCACAATGGCCAACAAGGCTGGCAACTTATAGGCTACCGAGCCTTGGTAGTACAGTGGTCTAAAGCACCCTGTTATTAACATCAGCTGCCTGCAATTACTGCAGGTTCGAATCTTACCAGGCTCAAGGTTGACTCAGCCTTCCATCCTTTCTAAGGTAGGTAAATTGAGGACCCAGTTGTGGGGGCAATACGCTGACTTTGTATAAATATACAAAAGTATGAAGGCTATTGCTTAGCGCATTGTAAGCCGCCCTGAGTCTCCGGAGAAGGGCGGCATATAAATCAAATTAAAAAAAAGAAAAAGAAAAAGCACAAATGTACAGGAAGAGACCAAGCAATGGGGAAGGATTCTAGTAGTACAGCTTCAATGGAAGCCCCAGCAGTAGCAAAAAAAGTGTCCAATAGCAGAACCCACCAAAAACTACTCCCCGAAAAGCATCTAGCAGCAGTCTGCTCCTCTGAAAATATGAAACAGCCTGCTTTTCTTGAAAACAGACCAGGAGCTGGAGCCCAATTTTTTTTTAAAAAAAATGCTGCCAGGTCCAGAAGGCAACACCAAACACAGTTTGCAAAATGTGCCTGCAAAAACACTGCATAACACCATAAACTGGGCAGTGTAGTAAAGGAGTAAGCATGGCCATTCTCCAGAATGCTCTACTCCTGTCTAATCCAGCCTGCTTCCAACCTCCATTCTGAACAGTCCTCTCCTTCCAAGAAAGTGCTTTAACCAAACAATCAATGCACAAGCATCTACAAACACTCATGAGGACAGCCCAATAGCTCCCTCTCTTTCCGCCATCTTAACTGAAACCTGGTTATGTCTGGGTCCTGACTATGAAGTCTAACCCATCTTAATATTATTTTTAATAGGTCGCGATTCTGATGTGCCAAAATACCCCACTACTTCCATCTGCAATAAACAACTGGCTACCAGTTCAGCCACATGTGGCTTCAGCTTTCCTGGAATTTGTGGCGCCTTGCTTCCTTGTGACGTGAGGTGATAGAAATGCTTAGAGTGACAATGGAAATTGGCATACGGGTAACTGTGGAGCAAGAGATCCGACAGCCACATCACCTTGGCATTCAATCTCGGCTGACAATTTTTATATCGCATCAGAACACTTAGAACATATGCTTTAGAAGCAGTTGTGTGAATCTGACTTAACAAAAAACAAACAAGTCACAGGAGGCCAAGAATCCTGGGAACGCATTCGTCTAAAACTGTGCTCTTATTATAGGGAGTCTATCATGGGAAAAAAAAAATCCTGTTTTCCTTTCAGCTTGACTTAGCACACATTCATTAGACAAATTATGTGCATATGATTCTGTTGGATCAGAATCTCCACACTTGATTTTCAACAGCAGTCTTTGCGTTGCAGGCTGTAACATTTGGCAAAAGACGCATTGTTCTAATTAACACATGTTCCGAGAGAGGCACTCTGCCTCAAATGCTTTATTTGATCAAATGTTTGCCTTTCTACACGCTCCAAAGATAAATCATTGCTCCATGTTTTAAAACAAGACAAAACAGAGAGATGTTTATATGAGCTAGAAAGCCTCTGGAAGACTGTTTGAACTCCATGAAATTCAGTGACAGCTGGCATCACAATGCAGAGATTGCCCTGCGGGGATAAATATTGGCTGCTGTTGAAGATAAAGAACAAGGGCTAATTTGCTGGTGGAGAAATCAAGATGGCTGAGACAACTTCCAGCGTCCAAGTAGGCAAGGTGCTGTTTCTGGGCTCCTCAAGGAAAGGAAGCTACACAGGTGGTCCTAATCACAAGCAAATACAATGAAAAAGCCAGTAGGAAGTTGGAAGTGCAGTCATGTGAGGTCCTCACTCAATGACCTGTGCAGTCCTTGATTAAAAATGGCAACTGGGACTTCTGGAACTGCTGTCCCTAAATAGCATGGCCATGTGGGTTTTTTTTTTCTTTTTAATTTACAACCATGCCCATGAACAATAGTGCTTCCAGTCCCAATTAACGGAGTTAATCAAATATCTTTATTACAGACGTTGACCAGGCATTAAAGGAGGCCTATCTGTATCTACAAGGGACGCGGTGGCTCAGTGGCTAAGACGCTGAGCTTGTCGATCGAAAGGTCGGCAGTTCAGCGGTTCAAATCCCTAGTGCCGCGTATCGGGGTGAGTTCCCGTTACTTGTCCCAGCTTCTGCCAACCTAGCAGTTCGAAAGCACATAAAAAATGCAAGTAGAAAAATAGGAACCACCTTTTGTGGGAAGGTAACAGCGTTTGGTGTTTAGTCAGGCCGGCCACATGACCACAAAGACGTCATCGGACAGCGCTAGCTCTTCGGCTTTGAAATGGAGATGAGCACTGCCCCCTAGAGTCGGGAACGACTAACACATATGTGCAAGGAGAACCTTTACCTTTTTATCTGTATCTACATGTACCTCATCAAACTGAACAGGATTTTTTCTTAATCTCCTAAACCTCAAAGTGATTTAAGAAGGATATATTGGCTAAATGAAATCAGTGGCAGTTCCAAATTTTAGGGGGATTGGTAGTCAGAGAAGGAAGTCAGAGGTGGACAGATTTCATTCAGCCAGTATTTTCAGAATACTTGGATGGTTGAATTAAATAATCCCTTCAAAAATATTTAAACGGGTTGTTACTGTTATGAGGAGAGGCAGCCTAGGCTCCCTCCCCCCCCCCATGTGTGTTTGTACGTGTGTGCATGCAAAGATGGCCACTGTGACTTTAAAACTGAAGCTCCAATGAATATAGAAAGGAGACAAGATTTTGATCAGGGGTGATTCTACTTACCTTTACTACTGGTTCGCAACGGGATCGCATGCACAGATTACTTCTGATGACGTCAGGGTCAGTGGGCGGAGCCTCCCGCTGATTTTACTACCGGTTCTATAGAACCGGTCCAAACCGGGGGCAACCCACCACTGGTTTTGATCATGTGGCCATGACCACTATCTCGACTTTTGACTCCTCCCCCAAAGATGACCCTGGTAGCAGCTGTAAAGCAGGGAGCCCCAGGAACTGACAGTGGATAACTTACAAAAACATGGATCTCAGAATGTGCCCACTCTAAAATTAATTTCTGGAATAAATTATTTAAACCACTTCTTTTCTCCTTCTTTATGAAAATGCATACTTGTATTTTTTCCTCTCTTAGCTACTTCAGGGGCTTGAAAATGCAGAAAATTAACAGATTATATTTTTAATTTATTTCTAGCTTTCAAAATTAAGTTGTGACGTAAGATTAAGCAAAGTGTCTGAAATCATGTTCCAATCTCAAATTTAGGACTACTTCACGTAGTACAAGTCGTCCTTATGACTTGAAGTTATGATGGAATCCCCCCCGCTCCAAAAAAGTGCTAATGATTCAGTTTCGAAGTTATGACAGCTGCCCTCCCCCAGCCCCAGTCATGTGACTGCATTTTGAGTGCATTGCCCCTCAGTCACATGATAGTGATTTACATTTTTGCCAGAAAATGTAATTTCCAACAAAATCCGGTCACTGCAAACAATGGTTCACTTAACAATTACAACATTCACTTTACAACTGGTGTTCACTTAATGGCCATCGCAAAAATGTTTTGGTTGATTACATGATGACCTATTTTACAACTGTCAACACTTATGACCACAATTGCCAGGTTCCATTATGATTATAAGTCGAGGATTACTTACATACTAAAAATACACCATTATGGAATAATCAGAGATACAAAGACAGTATAGGTACTCCTCGACTTACAACAGTTCATTTAGTGACTCTTCAAAGTTATAATGGCACTGAAAAAAGTGACTTATGAACGTTTTTCACAATTGCGACCATTGCAGCATCCCTACTGTCATATGATCAAAAGTCAGATGTTTGGCATCTGGTTCATATTTATGATGGCTGCAGTGTCCTGGGGTCATGTGATCAGTTTCTGTAATCTTCTGACAAGCAAAGTGAATGGGGAAGCCAGATTCGCTTAATAACCGTGTTACTAACTTCACAAATGCAATGATTCACTTAACAACTGTGGCAAGAAAAGTTGTAAAATGGGGCAAACTCACTTAACAAATGTTTCACTTTAGCAATATTAATTTTTGGCTCAATTGTGGTCGTAATTCGAGGACTACCTGTACCACTCCTGGTCTTCTTATGCATATATCATTCTTATGTCAAACACATCTTTCCATCATTTGTAAAAAGATTGTCGACCTACAAATTAGGTTTCAGGTGAATGATTTAATTGCTCCAAATGTATACAACAGGAAAACACAAAAAGAAATATAATATACATAAAACCTATTACAAAAGCTGAATCTGAATGTGTTTAACAAAGTATATTTGCACCACCAAATGTATACAACAGGAAAACACAAAAAGAAATATAATGTACATAAAACCTATTACAAAAGCTGAATCTGAATGCGTTTAACAAAGTATATTTGCACCACAGATCCTTCTTTTGCATCCCAACGTCTGAACGCAAAAATGACCCTATTTTGCAGCAGCTGTGATGCTGAAAATATACCACAAATATAGTTATTTGCCACATTTCTTCCTAAATGACAGAACAACTTCAAGTACTATTTTAAGACTGCTGATGCAATAGAAAAACATCGTTCTAACTTCTTTAAGGCATTTTCTTTTGTATTTTTACAAATGTATACTCTTAATGAGTTACATTATATTCAAGTGTGCTTTTTAATTAATCGGAGATGTATTCTAGATCTGTTTAAAAGATTTTCATCTGATTAACGTAACCAATAATCGGAAGCACAAGTAAAACTGTATTCCTTTTTAATTCTATTTACAACAATACATCACTAACCTTATTGTTGATTATAGCTTCAGAGTCATCAAAGACAAAATCTCCATCATAGCTGTTCACAAAGCAGATAATGGAAAAAAGTCCCACAATGGTTTTGGCCCAATATGGTGGAAGGGTCAGGAGTGGTATATCATGGTCCAGGTTAACTTCTCCCTGCGCCATTCTGCACACTTCTGGTTAAGAATTTGGAGTACCAACATTATGCTGGTTGTGAATCTAAAAGACATACAACATAAATGCATAAAGAACCAACTCAGCCCTGAGCTATAACTACTCTCTTCTATCTGTGGCAACTCAACTTTGCCCAAATTTTTTTTTACATATATTTACTAACATGTAAAAATATTTCGTAGTCCATTTGTTAACACACATGCATCATTTATGACATATTGGTAGTTGGAGGAGAGGGAGCTATATGAGGAGAAAACAAAATGAAAACTCTTTCCATTATTATAAAAACTCTTTTTCAGCTGTATATAAATGTATAGTTTAAATGTCTTTGATACTCACAAAAGTTGTAATAAGCAACAGCCTGAGTAAGTTATTGTAAGCATTCTGTTTTTAAACGACTACTTGACAAGTGTCTGCAACCAATACTTTAAGATTTTGGAACTCAAACCCTATTTTCTATGAACCTAAATTATTATTATTTTTTTAGAAAATATAGATGATTGCCTATCTTAAATACAGGTAGTCTTTGACTTACAACCACAACTGAGCCCAAAGTTTTTGTTGCTAAGTGAAACATTTGTTAAGTGAACTTTGCCCCAATTTTATGACCTTTTGTGCTAGTTGTTAAGTAAATCACTGCAGAAGTTAAGTTCGTAACATGGTTGTTAAATGAATCTGGCTTCCCCACTGACAAGGTTGCAAAAGGTGATCACATGAACCCGAGACACTGCAGCTGTCATAAATATGAGTCAGTTGCCAAGCGTCTGAATTTTGATCACATGACTATGGGAATGCTGAAGTGGTTGTAAGTGCGAAAAACAGTCATAAGCCACTTTTTTTCAGTGCCACTTAACTCTGAATGGTCACTAAATTAACTTTTGTATGCTGAGGACTACCTGTAATACAACTGTGTGGCTAGGAGTGGAAATATATACTGTATTTTTTGGAGTATGAGATGCACCTTTTTCCTCCCCTAAAAGGGAGTGAAAATTTAGGTGCGTCTCATCCACCGAATGTAGCCCCGCCCACCCACTGGCCCCCACCCTTTGGCCTCTGCCCCGCAGCAGTTACCTCCTTGCAAGCAAACAGCAAGAAAAACCAGCTCCTTTCAGCTTCAGCACAGCCTAATTAGCACAAGTTGATTGGATCAGCCTCCCGACTCTCAGCTGATTTGCTCTCAGCTGTTTTGGGCAGGGCTCTGCTGCTTGCTGCAAAGAGGTAAATTGCTGGAGCAGATTTTTTTTTTTTCTCCTTGTGCTAATCAAGCTATGCTGAAAACAAAAATGAAAGTAAAGCAGGCTGTTTGCTGTAACAAGGCACAATTGCTCAGAGGCAGAGGCAGAGGCAGAGGCAGAGGGAGATTTCTTTTTCTTCTTTTCCTCACCAAAAAAGGTAGGTGTGTCTTATACTCCAGTGCGTCTTATACTCCGAATAATACGGTAGTTGCATGTCATCAATGTAGTGATATTTCACCCTGTGCTGACCGATAATCTCACCCAGAAGTTTCATGTAGATGTTAAATAGAAATAAGAAATGAGTAGACGCTGGACAAAAGAAGTCCCAAAAGTGATTGCTTCTTGCATGAGAAGCGAAACGTCTTCAAAGAAAAACCAGAAAGTCCAGTTGTCTCTTGAAAAAGCACCTTTGACCTGGTGACCTGGATGACTGAGAATCTTCATCCATATAAGAAGGTCTAGGGCTGGGCCTCTTCTCCCCTATCAATATTGAAAGAGAAGGGGCTTCCGGTTTGCTGCTTGTCGCCGCCAGACGTTCTTTCAGGATCGTCAGTCCCACTGCCTGTAAGAGCCGCCTTCACAATGGAATGGCGGCTTGAAAAAACTCCGTTTCCACGAGGAAATGGAGATAGAGCCGGCTGGGGTGGGTAGAGCTCTCTGCATAGTCCCAAAAGTTTTTCTTTTACTTTTGGGACGGAGCGGATGAGACTCCCCATATCCCTAGCCACCGCTCCGGGCTTTGGGAGACCTCTGCTTAATGCAGAGCTAGGTGACAAGAGCAAGCCTGCATATTTAACAGATTAATTAAAGAAGACGTGAGCTGGACCTGTGATCCTGAATCGCAAGTATTTTACTTATTTTACAAAAGTTATTTAAGAAAGAAAAAAAAGGAAAAAAAGATTTTTTAAAATGGCGACTGCTGCGGCTTGAGGAGAGGCTGAAAAGGAAAGTCCTTCCCTTTTCTATTATTACAAAGTAGCGGAATAGATACTTTTGGCTACAATTGAAGACAAAACTTCACTTTTGTGTTTTTTTTCTCCTGGAGATCTGATATTGATCTTGGTCAGAAAGAAGTTTTCTTCTCTTTTTTAAAAAGTTTGTCTGGGCGGAAACATGGCATTGAGACTTATAAAGTCAGATAAACAAGCAGCGGGGGGGGGATTCCCCCATTAACAAATTACAAGAACAAGTTCTAAGTCTCCAGTCTCAGAAACCTGATTTTAACATAATAGAATTTCTCTTAGAGGAGATTGTAAGAAGGGATGAGATTGTGAATCAGCATTTTGAAAAATTTAAGCAGGAAATTAAAGAATTGGTGAAATCAAAGTTTGACTTTTTGGAACGAAAGATTATAAAAATGGCTGATGGTTTTTCAGAATTTATGATCCAATTGGATGCAAATACTAAGTTATTAGAGTATAAAATGGAAGAAACTGAGGATAATTTGGACAATAGAATACAAAAAATTGAAAATGATTTGACAAATAGCTCAGAAGAAAAACCTAAAATGGAGGCTGATCAAAAGACTTGTAACGTAGAAAATTTGCAACAGAGGATTGAAAGAGAAGTTTTAATGATGCAATATAATTTCACTGAATATGCGATTAGACTGAGAGGGCTGCAGGAAAACAACAGAGATGATTTAAGGAAAATATCTTCTGAAATTCTGGCTGGGATTTTAAAGGTTCAACCTGAGGAAGTATTTTGTAGAATTGACAGAGTTTATAGAATAAATTCCTGGACTGCAAAACAAAGGCAATTGCCTAGAGATGTGGTGATTTACTTTATAGACAAGGAGATAAGAAATAATATTGTGCAAAATTCTTACAATTCTACTTTGCAATGGTTTGGAAGAAAGATTTGGATATATAAAGAGCTCCCGCCCAAGATGTTATTGGAAAGAAAGAAATTTGGTTTTCTGGTGACTGAACTTAAAAAGAGAAATATCCTATTCAGGTGGGATGCCCCAGTTGGTATTATATTGAGATATCAAGGAGAAAGATATCAATTAAATACTGTTGAAAAAGCGGAAGAATTTTATCAAAAAATTTTGAAAATGAATTCAACATCTTTAGGCACAATACAGGATAAGCAGAAGGAATTGGAAATAAAGGGAAAACATCGAATTATAGAGGTTTCTGTAGACAAATTGCCTTTGGATTTTTCAGATATCCCAGCTGGATTATTTATAAATAAAAGAGAAGTGGTATCGGATTCTAATGTGATTATGACTCATCAAGTCACAGACAAGCATAATCATTTAGCTGATATACAATTGTCAGAAAAGAAATATGAGTTAAAGCAAAACCAACAAGATCAAGTTATAAAGCAGAATGAAAATTGCTCAGCCGATATACAACCTGCAGAAAGGAAATTAGGATGGAGAACAAACCCACAAAAGGAAAAGAAAAAAAAGAAATAGGTCTCACAAATATAAAAACTTCTAAACTAAGCAACAGCGACGCCATTATTTTTTTTTTAAAAAAAAATGAACGAATATATGAAAAGACAGTTGAGGCAAAGTATTGGTTAACAATATCCTGAGGAGAGTGACAGATCTCTGCAATGCCGTAATCCTGGGATGTGAAAAGAGCCTTAAACTGGTTGGATTGGAATTATCTATTTTGGAGTTCTCTTTATTGATAAATGTATTATATTTATGTCGAGCTATAAGGCAAGAGAATCACGCTGGGGCATGCAGAAGATCTGGTTGTTACCCATTACCACGATGGGAATTAATAATCTTGAAGAAAACCACAACTACAGATATTGTATGGAATATAATCATAATGTCACTCGGGTGGTTGTTTTCTTTTTTATATATATAGGAGGAGAATTATTACTGATGGGGGCAGAAGACAACTGAGGATTTGGAACAATCTGTTGCAACTAGGATGCTATGTTACCCTAATATGGATGATGTATTCAACAATACAGTGGATAGATACTAAAGAAGATATTATATCGATTATAAATTTAAAGTTATTGATTTATTTTATATAATGGAATATTTTTTTTTTGTAGTAGGGTGGGTAGTAGATTAAAGATATTAAGAATTGTTGTGTATGGTAATTTAGTAGGAAAGTGGGTGGAGATAGGTTAGTTTACTGATTGTTTAGTTTAAGAAAAGGGATGCTTAAGTGATATATCTATGGGAGTGGAGTAAATGGATGGGGCTGAATAAATGCTAAATTAAGATTTATGGGGAAGGCTGCTTTGAAATGTTATATTAATATATATAAAAGATTAAATGTTAAAGTAGGATTTATTACATAGTTCTACAAAGGGGAAGGTTGTTATGAAATGTTGTATTAATATACAGATATACAGATATAAGCATAGGGAGGAGAAATAGGGCAGATTACTGTCAAATTGGGAGTTATAATAATATTATTATGTTAAATTAGAAGTTATTATGTAATGTTATAGTAAAATGATATTTTGAAATGTATGGTAAAAGGGGAAGTAATAATATTATTAATATTATTAGTAAATAAGGGTCAGTATTTAGAGGAGGAAGTAAGGGGATAGTAAAATATTATATAATCTGTTATAAATTAGGTTCTTGTTGGAGGAAGTCATGGGGGGGATGAGTGGTGAGGGGGGTTAGGGAGGAGGGGGGGAGAAAAATGTGGGGGAAAATTTGTATTTGAAAACTTTTTCAATAAAAAAAAAATATTGAAAGAGAAGAACCGCTACAATGGGCATCACTACACTCAACTCCTGTTGCCAGTCCAGAAGAATATTATGGTTGATGGTATCACAGACTGCTGAGATTTAGGAAGGCAAGAATGGATGTAGGCCCCTCCT